CACCTGTGGGCACGCCACCTGTGGGGCACCGCCACCTGTGGGGCACGCCACCTGTGGGTACGCCACTGTGGGCACGTTACCTGTGGGCACGCCACCTGCGGGCACGCCACCTGTGGGCACGCCACCTGTGGGCACGCCACCTGCGGGTACGCCACCTGTGGGCACGCCACCTGTGGGCACGCCACCTGTGGGCACGTCACCTGTGGGCACGCCACCTGTGGGCACGCCACCTGTGGGCACGTCACCTGTGGGCACGCCACCTGTGGGCACGCCACCTGTGGGCACGCCAGGGTGGCCGGGGGCTTGCGCGCCTGGCACCCTGGGGCCAGATTCACGAAGCGGTTACGCAAGTACTTACGAACGTGTACATCTTTCCTCGATTTTTTTCCTCAATTTTCGTTTAATACATTTATTAAAACGGTTTGCAAGCATGAAACTTGCCAGTCAAAAGTTGTTGTGTTGTCTAAACAGCCTCCTGGTGCTTCGGGGCTCATTAACTGTTTAATAATTGTAAACTAAGTCGTCAAAGATTGAGAAAAGATGTTCAGGTTCGTAAGTGCTTGCGTAACTACTTCGTGAATCTGGCTCCAGTTTATTGGTCCATAGTTTTGTTCTCCTCCCACCCCCCAGCTCTCTATCTCACTTTCTCTCACACACAACACACACACACACACACACACACACACACACACACGCACACACACACACACAACACGCACACAGCACACACACACACGCACCACCACACACACAGCACACACACACACGCACACACACACACACAACAACACACACACACACACACGCACACGCACGCACACGCACGCACACACGCGCACACACGCGCACACACGCGCACACACGCGCACACACGCGCACACACACGCGCACACACGCGCACACACACGCGCACACACGCGCACACACGCACACACACGCGCACAACACGCGCACACACGCGCACACACGCGCACACACGCGCACACACGCGCACACACGCGCACACACGCGCACACACGCGCACACCACGCGCGCACACACGCACACACACACACACACACACACCACACACACACCACACACACACACACACACACACACATACATACATACATATTTAACACAAGGGACACACGCACAAGGGGACACAGGTGGAAACTGAGTGCCCAAATGAGCCCACAGAGATATTAGAAAGAACTTTTTTAGTGTCAGAATGGTTGACAAATGGAATGCATTAGGAAGTGATGTGGGGGAGGCTGACTCCATACCCAGTTTCAAGGTAGATATGATAGAGCCCAATAGACGTCAGGCTGCGAGCAGCCGCGTCTAACAGCCTGGTGATCAGTCTAGCAAACAGGAGGCCTGGTCGAGACAGGGCCGCGGGGACACTAAGCCCCGGAAGCACCTCAAGGTAGGCTCGGAATCTGTACACCTGTTGATTGACAGTTGAGAGGCGGGACCAAAGAGCCAGAGCTCAACCCCCGCAAGCACAACTAGGTGAGTACATACATACACACACACACGCACGAGGAAGCCAGAGGTCACGTGGTATATCTAAGAGAATGTATAAGGCCCCGCAAAGCACACCACCAAACTGCGACGTTGCTACAACGTTCCAACAAGGAGTAACAACCAGGCTAGCAAGTGTAACAAGGTTCTAATGCGCCATAAAACGTTACACAATACCGTAACAACTTTAATACAAGTTGTAGCAAGCGAAAAAATAGGGACAATTAATTTTTGACAGGTGTTTCAAGTCTCGTATTCCTCATTGAAAGGTTTTATCAACGTCATGTATCTGTGAGAAAATTGAAGCCGCGCGGTGGGATCGACCCCGCTAGAGCACAGTCTAGGGATGTGTGTGTGTGTGTGTGTGTGTTCGATGCCATTCAATGGCTTGAATATTCTTGTACATATGGTGCTCCTTACTTCTAATATGGCAGTATTGACCGTAAGACGTGGCTAGAGGGATAGGCTGCCCGTCTGTACTTTATCGTCTGGGGGGGGGGGATGGGAGGGGGGGGGGGTTAACCCTTAAAACTGCTAAGCTATCTAAAAACTACCATTCGGGGGCGCATGAGAGGGTTGAGGATTGAGAAAGAGTATTGAAATACCTAGTAGGGATGAAACACACACATGGTGATTTGAGTACAGGTGGAAATTTTCCGATAGCGACAAGGTGTACAAGGGTTCGAGGTGTGTGTGTGTGTGTGTGTGCGTGTGTGTGTGTGTGCGTGTGTGTGTGCGTGTGTGTGTGCGTGTGTGTGTGCGTGTGTGTGTGCGTGTGCGTGTGTGTGTGCGTGTGCGTGTGTGTGTGTGCGCGTGTGTGTTGTGCGCGTGTGTGTGTGCGCGTGTGTGTGTGCGTGTGTGTGTGCGTGCGTGTGTGTGTGTGTGGCCTTGCGTGGACACACCCCAGGCCAGACGGGTTCTTGTGCAGACCTTCCTTATATAGCCAAACTAGTCGTGTGGCCAGGACTGTGGTGTGGCCAAACTGTGGTGTGGCCAGACTGTGGTGTGGCCACAATGTGGTGGGCCAGACTGTGGTGTAGCCAAACTGGGGGCGTGGCCAGACTGTGGTGTGGCCAGACTGTGGTGTGGCCAGACTGGGGGCGTGGCCAGACTGGGGGAGTGGCCAGACTGGGGGCGTGGCCAGCCTGTGGTGTGGCCAGGCTCGTGGTGTGGTCAACGTGCGTGGTGGGTCGGGGGCGGTGGATAGACTGGGGGCGTGGCCAGACTGGGGCGTGGCCAGACTGGGGGGCGTGGCCAGGACTGGGGGCGTGGCAAGACTGGGGGCGTGGCCAGACTGGGGGCGTGGCCAGACTGGGGGCGTGGCCAGACTGGGGGCGTGGCCAGACTGGGGGCGTGGCCAGACTGGGGGCGTGGCAGATCGTTGCCAGACTGGGGGCGTGTGGTCAGACTGGGGGGCGTGGGCTGACTGGGGGCGTGGCCAGACTGGGGGCGTGGCCAGATTGGGGGCGTGGCCAGACTGGGGGTGTGGCCAGACTGGGGCGTGGCCAGACTGGTGGGGCGGGGCCAGACTGGGGGTGTGGCCAGACTGGGGGCGTGGCCAGCCTGTGGTGTGGCCACACTGGTGGTGTAGCCAGACTGTGGTGTGGCCAAACTGTGGTGTGGCCAGACTGTGGTGTGGCCAGACTGTGGTGTGGCCAGACTGTGGTGTGGCCACACTGGTGGTGTGGCCAGACTGTGGTGTGGCCAAACTGTGGTGTGGCCAGACTGGTGGTGTGGCCAAACTGGTCGTGTGGCCACACTGGTGGTGTGGCCACACTGGTGGTGTGGCCAAACTGTGGTGTGGCCAGACTGTGGTGTGGACAAACTGTGGTGTGGCCAGACTGTGGTGTGGCCAAACTGGTCGTGTGGCCAGACTGTGGTGTGGCCACACTGGTGGTGTGGCCAGACTGTGGTGTGGCCAAACTGTGGTGTGGCCAGACTGTGGTGTGGCCAAACTGGTGTGGCCAGACTGTGGTGTGGCCAAACTGGTGGTGTGGCCAGACTGTGGTGTGGCCAAACTGGTCGTGTGGCCAAACTGTGGTGTGGCCAGACTGTGGTGTGGCTAAACTGTGGTGTGGCCAGACTGTGGTGTGGCCACACTGGTGGTGTGGCCAGACTGTGGTGTGGCCAAACTGTGGTGTGGCCAGACTGTGGTGTGGCCAAACTGTGGTGTGGCCAGACTGTGGTGTGGCCAAACTGTGGTGTGGCCAGACTGTGGTGTGGCCAGACTGTGGTGTGGCCAGACTGTGGTGTGGCCAGACTGTGGTGTGGCCAGACTGTGGTGTGGCCAAACTGTGGTGTGGCCAGACTGTGGTGTGGCCAGACTGTGGTGTGGCCAGACTGTGGTGTGGCCAGACTGTGGTGTGGCCAGACTGTGGTGTGGCCAAACTGTGGTGTGGCCAGACTGTGGTGTGGCCAGACTGTGGTGTGGCCAGACTGTGGTGTGGCCACACTGGTGGTGTGGCCAGACTGTGGTGTGGCCACACTGGTGTGGCCAGACTGTGGTGTGGCCAAACTGTGGTGTGGCCAGACTGTGGTGTGGCCAGACTGGTGGTGTGGCCAGACTGTGGTGTGGCCAAACTGGTCGTGTGGTCAGACTGTGGTGTGGCCAAACTGTGGTGTGGCCAAACTGTGGTGTGGCCAGACTGTGGTGTGGCCAGACTGTGGTGTGGCCAGATTGGTGGTGTGGCCAAACTGGTCGTGTGGCCAGACTGTGGTGTGGCCAAACTGTGGTGTGGCCAGACTGTGGTGTGGTCACACTGGTGGTGTGGCCAGACTGGTGGTGTGGCCAGACTGGTGGTGTGGCCAAACTGGTGGTGTGGCCAAACTGGTGGTGTGGCCAAACTGGTGGTGTGACCAGAATGATGATGTGGCCAGACTGTGGTGTGGTGGCCAGACTGTGGTGTGGTGGCCAGACTGATGATGTGGCCAGACTGTGGTGTGGCCAGACTGTGGTGTGGCCAGACTGTGGTGTGGCCAGACTGGTGGTGTGGCCAGACTGTGGTGTGGCCAGACTGTGTGGCCAGACTGTGGTGTGGCCAGACTGTGGTGTGGCCAGACTGTGGTGTGGCCAGACTGTGGTGTGGCCAGACTGGTGGTGTGGCCAGACTGTGGTGTGGCCAGACTGGTGGTGTGGCCAGACTGTGGTGTGGCCAGACTGGTGGTGTGGCCAGACTGTGGTGTGGCCAGACTGGTGGTGTGGCCAGACTAATGATGTGGCCAGACTGGTGTGGCCAGACTGTGGTGTGGCCAGACTGTGGTGTGGCCAGACTGGTGGTGTGGCCAGACTGGTGGTGTGGCCAGACTGATGATGTGGCCAGACTGTGGTGTGGCCAGACTGTGGTGTGGCCAGACTGTGGTGTGGCCAGACTGGTGGTGTGGCCAGACTGTGGTGTGGCCAGACTGTGGTGTGGCCAGACTGTGGTGTGGCCAGACTGTGGTGTGGCCAGATTGTGGTGTGGCCAGACTGTGGTGTGGCCAGATTGTGGTGTGGCCAGACTGTGGTGTGGCCAGATTGTGGTGTGGCCAGACTGTGGTGTGGCCAGACTGTGGTGTGGCCAGACTGGGGGCGTGGCCAGACTGGGGGCGTGGCCAGACTGGGGGCGTGGCCAGGCTGGTGGCGTGGCCAGGCTCGTGGTGTGGCCAGACTGGTGGTGTGGCCAGACTGGTGGTGTGGCCAGACTGTGGTGTGGCCAGACTGGTGGTGTGGCCAGAATGGTGGTGTGGCCAGACTGTGGTGTGGCCAGACTGTGGTGTGGCCAGACTGTGGTGTGGCCAGACTGTGGTGTGGCCAGACTGGGGGTGTGGACAGACTGGGGGTGTGGACAGACTGGGGGTGTGGACAGACTGTGGTGTGGCCAGACTGTGGTGTGGCCAGACTGTGGTGTGGCCAGACTGTGGTGTGGCCAGACTGTGGTGTGGCCAGACTGGGGGTGTGGACAGACTGGGGGTGTGGACAGACTGGTGGTGTGGCCAGACTGTGGTGTGGCCAGACTGTGGTGTGGCCAGACTGGTGGTGTGGCCAGACTGTGGTGTGGCCAGACTGTGGTGTGGCCAGACTGGGGGCGTGGCCAGACTGGGGGCGTGGCCAGACTGGGGGCGTGGCCAGGCTGGTGGCGTGGCCAGGCTCGTGGTGTGGCCAGACTGGTGGTGTGGCCAGACTGGTGGTGTGGCCAGACTGTGGTGTGGCCAGACTGGTGGTGTGGCCAGAATGGTGGTGTGGCCAGACTGTGGTGTGGCCAGACTGTGGTGTGGCCAGACTGTGGTGTGGCCAGACTGTGGTGTGGCCAGACTGTGGTGTGGCCAGACTGGGGTGGGCCAGACTGTGGGACAGACTGGGGGTGTGGGTGTGGCCAGACTGGGGTGTGGTGTGGCCAGACTGTGGTGTGGCCAGACTGTGGTGTGGCCAGACTGTGGTGTGGCCAGACTGTGGTGTGGCCAGACTGTGGTGTGGCCAGACTGGTGGTGTGGCCAGACTGGTGGTGTGGCCAGACTGGTGGTGTGGCCAGACTGTGGTGTGGCCACTGGTGTGTGTGGCCAGATTGGGGGTGTGGCCAGACTGTGGTGTGGCCAGACTGTGGTGTGGGCCAGACTGTGGTGTGGCCAGACTGTGGTGTGGCCAGACTGGTGGTGTGGCCAGACTGTGGTGTGGCCAGACTGTGGTGTGGCCAGACTGTGGTGTGGCCAGACTGGGGGTGTGGCCAGACTGGTGTGGCCAGACTGGGTGTGGCCAGACTGGGTGTGGGGACAGACTGTGGTGTGGCCAGACTGTGGTGTGGCCAGACTGTGGTGTGGCCAGACTGTGGTGTGGCCAGACTGTGGTGTGGCCAGACTGTGGTGTGGCCAGACTGTGGGTGTGGCCAGACTGTGTGGCCAGACTGGTGGTGTGGCCAGACTGGGGGTGTGGCCAGACTGGGGGTGTGGCCAGACTGGGGTGTGGCCAGACTGGGGGTGTGGACAGACTGTGGGTGTGGCCAGACTGTGGTGTGGCCAGACTGTGGTGTGGCCAGACTGGGGGTGTGGCCAGACTGTGGTGTGGCCAGACTGGGGGTGTGGCCAGACTGTGGTGTGGCCAGACTGGGGTGTGGCCAGACTGTGGTGTGGCCAGACTGTGGTGTGGACAGACTGGGGGTGTGGCCAGACTGTGGTGTGGCCAGACTGGGTGTGGCCAGACTGGTGGTGTGGACAGACTGGTGGTGTGGCCAGACTGTGGTGTGGCCAGACTGTGGTGTGGCCAGACTGTGGTGTGGCCAGACTGTGGGTGTGGCCAGACTGTGGTGTGGCCAGACTGGGGTGTGGCCAGACTGTGGGTGTGGCCAGACTGTGGTGTGGCCAGACTGTGGTGTGGCCAGACTGTGGTGTGGCCAGACTGGGGGTGTGGCCAGACTGTGGTGTGGCCAGACTGTGGTGTGGCCAGACTGTGGTGTGGCCAGACTGGTGGTGTGGCCAGACTGTGGTGTGGCCAGACTGTGGTGTGGCCAGACTGGGGTGTGGCCAGACTGTGGTGTGGCCAGACTGTGGTGTGGCCAGACTGTGGTGTGGCCAGACTGGTGGTGTGGCCAGACTGTGGTGTGGCCAGACTGGTGGTGTGGCCAGACTGTGGTGTGGCCAGACTGTGGTGTGGCCAGACTGTGCCAGACTGGGGGCGTGGCCAGACTGGGGGCGTGGCCAGCCTGGTGGTGTGGCCAGGCTCGTGGTGTGGTCAGACTGTGGCGTGGCTAGACTGGGGGCGTGGCCAGACTGGGGGCGTGGCCAGACTGGGGGCGTGGCCAGACTGGGGGCGTGGCCAGACTGGGGGCGTGGCCAGACTGGGGGCGTGGCCTGACTGGGGGCGTGGCCAGACTGGGGGCGTGGCCAGACTGGGGGCGTGGCCAGACTGGGGGCGTGGCCAGACTGGGGGTGTGGCCAGACTGGGGGCGTGGCCAGACTGGGGGTGTGGCCAGACTGGGGGCGTGGCCAGACTGGGGTGTGGCCAGACTGGGGGCGTGGCCAGTACGGAGCCTGCTCCCCCCCCCCCCGTTCTCTCCATCTGCCACTCCGTCTACAACACGACCGTTCAGCCTCGCCAGACACGTACGAGTCCACCCGGACTTGACCCATGAAGGCCGATAAGGCAATATTACCGTGTTCTAATTATGAGAGGATTGGTGGATTGGCTTAACGTGTTATGGGCTGGTGCAGGCAGGTGGGCCAGCTGGGAGGGCTGGTGCAGGCAGGTGGGCCAGCTGGGAGGGCTGGTGCAGGCAGGTGGGCCAGCTGGGAGGGCTGGTGCAGGCAGGTGGACCAGCTGGGAGGGCTGGTGCAGGCAGGTGGGCCAGCAGGGAGGGCTGGTGCAGGCAGGTGGGCCAGCTGGGAGGGCTGGTGCAGGCAGGTGGGCCAGCTGGGAGGGCTGGTGCAGGCAGGTGGACCAGCAGGGAGGGCTGGTGCAGGCAGGTGGGCCAGCAGGGAGGGCTGGTGCAGGCAGGTGGGCCAGCAGGGAGGCCCTGGCCCACCATGTGTGTACACATGTGTCAGCCCCCACGCTTGGTGGAGGGACCGTGTGGAGTTCACTCATGCTTTAATTAACACTCTTTATATCTATTAGAAATAATAATTACTAATAGTAATACTAATATAATGAATGCTGGCAAGAGGATTGGACAGTTTATTTGTTATAATTAAATATATATATATATATTATATATATATATATATATATATATATATATATAGATAATATAATTTATATAATATATATATATAATATATATATAATATAAAGTGTGTATCAGTGCTTCTGTGGTCATGGTTCTTATTATATTTAGTGTGATCCTGGGCGTCATGGGCTCGAATCCTGATCGGGTCATTAGAGGTCTTCATGATACCTTGCGGTCTACCTTGCAATGATTTCGGGGCTCAACCTCCCCGCGGCCCGATTCTCGACCAAGCCTCCTACATGTGATAAAAAGGTGTTTGAATATGTTTTCACGGTTGGTCCCCACGGGCAGGTCTTTCATATAAATTAGAGAGAGTAGTGGACCCAGGACAGAGCCTTGTGGGACCCCACTTGTTACATTCCTCCAGCTTGTAGCGTACTTGCTGATTGGACTCTCTGGTTTCTGTCCTTCAGGCACTCCCTTGTACCCAGTTGAGTGCATTCCCAGTTATCCCAGACTGGTTCAGGCATCGTGTACAACAGTCTTCCTGAGGGAACAGTGTCAAATGCCTTTTGACAGTCTAGAAAAAATCCAGTCTACCTAGCCTTCCTTTTCCTGTGTTATTTTGGAACCTTGCCATAACACTCAGTCAGGTGTGTTAGACACGGTGTTCCATTTCTAAATCCATGCTGATTTTTGTTGTCACAAAGTCAATCCTCTCAAGATGTTGCATCACTTTCTCCAGCACTTTACAAGGAATACTTGTCAGTGACAGTGGTCTGTAGGTTAGTGCCGCCTTCCTATCTCCCTTTTCTTTTAACATTGGCATTACATTCGCCCTTTTCCAGACATCTGGGAGACTTCCTGGCTAAAGATTTTATTGACAAAATTAGATAACGGGTGGCAGAGTACGTCAGCAGCATCCTTGGGTCTGCTGCCATTCTTGAGGTTATCTTGAGATGATTTCGGGGCTTTAGTGTCCCCGCGGCCCGGTCCTCGACCAGGCCTCCACCCCAGGAAGCAGCCCGTGACAGCTGACTAACTCCCAGGTACCTATTTACTGCTAGGTAACAGGGGCATTCAGGGTGAAAGAAACTTTGCCCATTTGTTTCTGCCTCGTGCGGGAATCGAACCCGCGCCACAGAATTACGAGTCCTGCGCGCTATCCACCAGGCTACGAGGCCATTGTTTCTGTCACATCTAGTTCCCCCGCGGGATTATCTTTCACCTCTTCCACCACCTTGAGTTGATTTCGGGGCTTTAGTGTTCCCTCGGCCCGGTCCTCGACCAGGCCTTCACCCCCAGGAAGCAGCCCGTGACAGCTGACTAACTCCCAGGAACCTTTTTACTGCTAGGTAACAGGGGCATAGGGTGAAAGAAACTCTGCCCGTCGTTTCTCGCCGGCGTCCGGGACCATAGGGTCACGTGTCCAGCGTGGTGTCCGATCGGCCGGCGGCCCATACAATGCCTTCCAGTATCTCCTGTAGCCTTGGTCTCCATGCCGCTGTTAATGTGAAGACCTCCGGACATCTCTCATTGAGTTCCTCGCTCTCTACCTCCTCTGTCTCTGTGAGATCTCCCCACGTCTCCTCTGAGTACATCGTCTCCTCTCACTGTTGTCTTGCTCCTTATACTATAAAACAGCGTTGGTTGTTCCTTAGCTTCTGCACCAACATCATTTTCTAATTCTCTCCTAAATTGGGTGTGAGCGCGCGTGTATGTATAATATGGGTTTTCACAGCAGTTGTACGCAGTAGTGCTGTGGTAAGTAGTAAGTGTTGGTGGTGTAGGTGTGGTGGTGTTGGTGTAGGTGTGGTGGTGTTGGTGTAGGTGTGGTGGTGTAGGTGTGGTGGTGTTGGTGTAGGTGTGGTGGTGTTGGTGTAGGTGTGGTGGTGTAGGTGTGGTGGTGTTGGTGTGTTGGTGTTGGTGTGGTGGTGTTGGTGTAGGTGTGGTGGTGTTGGTGTAGTGTGGTGGTGTTGTGTAGGGTGGTGGTGTTGGTGTAGTGTGGTGGTGTGTTGGTGTTGGTGTGGTGGTGTTGGTGTAGGTGTGGTGGTGTTGGTGTAGGTGTGGTGGTGTAGGTGTGGTGGTGTTGGTGTGTTGGTGTTGGTGTGGTGGTGTTGGTGTAGGTGTGGTGGTGTTGGTGTAGGTGTGGTGGTGTTGGTGTAGGTGTGGTGGTGTAGGTGTGGTGGTGTTGGTGTGTTGGTGTTGGTGTGGTGGTGTTGGTGTAGGTGTGGTGGTGTTGGTGTAGGTGTGGTGGTGTAGGTGTGGTGGTCGTGGTGTAGGTGTGGTGGTGTTGGTGTAGGTGTGGTGGTGTAGGTGTGGTGGTCGTGGTGTAGGTGTGGTGGTGTAGTTGTGGTGTGTAGGTGTGGTGGTGTTGGTGTAGGTGTGGTGGTGTAGTTGTGGTGGTGTTGGTGTAGTGTGGGTGGTGTTGGTGTAGGTGTGGTGGTGTAGGTGTGGTGGTCGTGGTGTAGGTGTGGTGGTGTTGGTGTAGGTGTGGTGGTGTAGGTGTGGTGGTGGTGTAGGTGTGGTGGTGGTGTAGGTGTGGTGGTGGTGTAGGTGTGGTTGTGTCGGTGTGGTGGTGTTGGTGTGGTCTGGTGGTGGTGTAGGTGTGGTTGTGTCGGTGTGGTGGTGTTGGTGTGGTGGTGTTGGTGTGGTGGTGTAGGTGTGGTGGTGGTGGTGTAGGTGTGGTTGTGTCGGTGTGGTGGTGGTGGTGGTGTAGCGGTGGTGGTGTGGTGGTGTAGGTGTGTGATGGTGGTGGCAATAGGTGGTGGTGGTGGTGGTGGTGGCAGTAGTTGTGGTGTTTACCTATCAGTGTCTATTGGGGTGTGTTGTTGTGTTTGTTGCATCACAACTTGACTATTTTGACATTCAAATCCTGTCTCAAATCTGGCCTTAAAGTTGTGGATGGAGGTGGCTTCTACAACTTGTTCTTCATTCCTTGATGACTACTCGTACAGAGTACCAGTATTGCCTCATTTGCATTCCAGCTTTCACCTGTGTCCTCTTGTCTTTCTTTTAATCTCAAGAGCATATCTCAATCCATGTCAATCTTATATATTCCCCTGAGTACCTTGTAAGGGGTGATCATGTCTCCCCTGTTCGTTCTATCATCTAGGGGTTGAGAGATTTAGTTCCTTACATTTGTTGGGATTCAACTCTAGCAACCATTTGTTTGCGCGTTCCTGGAGAGAGTAAGTCGAGGTAATGCAGTAACTTCCTGCAGTACTCCTCTGTTTTTACATTGTGTGTGAGCTTTGAATCCTCACCAAACTTTGGTCTGTACGAGCTCGCTCCTTCGGGTAGTTTGTGATAGGTGGTGGTAGTGGTGACGATGGTGGTAGTGGTGGTTGTGGTGGTAGTAGTGACGATGGTGGTAGTGGTGGTACTGATGGTGGTAGTGGTGACGATGGTGGTAGTGGTGACGATGGTGGTAGTGGTGGTACTGATGGTGGTAGTGGTGACGATGGTGGTAGTGGTGGTACTGATGGTGACATTGGTGGTTATGAAGTGAGGTGGTTATGGTGGTGGGGGTTCTGGTGGTGGGTGCAACAACCATTGGTGTTGAGTATGTACGCGACGTCACTGTTAGCCAACGGATATGTTGATGTGCATACTGGCCCGCTCATTACCGCCCCCCCCCTCCCCCCCCTCCCTCCCTCTCGGAAGTGGACCATTGTGAGCCTCCCCCTCCCCCCTTTCCTCCTACCCTCCCCCCCCCCTACCCACCTCTCGTGTGTGTGTGTTGTGCTTCGCACGCCGCCACTCCTTTATGAATGGGCCCAGTCATGGGTGGTACTGGCCTGGCTGGCTGGCTCCTGCCTCTGTTTCTGCTGCTGCTGCTGCTGCTGCCCTACTTCTTTTGTGTTGTTGCTGTTGCTGCTGCTGTACTGTTGTTGCTGCTGCTGTACTGTTGTTGCTGCTGCTGTACTGTTGCTGTTGCTGCTGTACTGTTGTTGTTGCTGCTGCTGTACTGTTGTTGTTGCTGCTGTACTGTTGTTGTTGCTGCTGCTGTACTGTTGTTGTTGCTGCTGCTGTACTGTTGTTGCTGCTGCTGTACTGTTGTTGCTGCTGCTGTACTGTTGTTGCTGCTGCTGTACTGTTGTTGTTGCTGCTGCTGTACTGTTGTTGCTGCTGCTGCTGTACTGTTGTTGCTGCTGCTGCTGTACTGTTGTTGCTGCTGCTGTACTGTTGTTGTTGCTGCTGCTGTACTGTTGCTGTTGCTGCTGCTGTACTGTTGTTGCTGCTGCTGTACTGTTGTTGTTGGTGCTGCTGTACTGTTGTTGCTGCTGCTGTACTGTTGTTGTTGCTGCTGCTGTACTGTTGTTGTTGCTGCTGCTGTACTGTTGTTGCTGCTGC